AACCATTTTATAATTCTTCTTTCAGATGACTCGTATAGCTGCACTTGTCTTTTGCAACAAAGTAAAGGGCTTGTTTGTCGTCATTTTTACTATCTTCTAAATATTACCATTAAGGCACAATTTAGTTTGCAATTGATTGCACTACGTTGGATTTCTAAATCCCAACGATTAGATGCAGTGAAGGAATGTGTATACTTTAGTCAGCGTTTCAGTAATATTAAAGATAAAACTACTGATATAGATATAACTATGAGCAATAAGAATCAGTATATATGGTTACACATTTGCTAATAGTAAAACAGAAGTGATTACCGATGATGATTTTATTGATGAAATGCTTTTTTATGGGAAAGTTTGGGGTCTTGCACATATTGCTATAAACAAATGCATGTTACATCGTGATAATGAGTTTATTCTGTTAATTAAAAATTATTTGAATAGAGTTCGCACTAGAGAGGAAGAATTAGTTAGATTACAAGAAGTAGTGGTCTCAACTAGTCAAAATATTGTTAAAAATACAGAGGTTAGTATGATTCAGCTTGAGAATCCTCAGAAAGTAGTTGGTAGAGGAAGACCAAAAGCAGCAAGTCATCATAATAAGATATCACGAATATTACAATACAAGAAGCAAGTAAAAAAAAAAATGTGGGCAGTATACTTGTGGATTTTGCAAAGAGCCAGGCCATAATATCACGACTTGTCCGAATAAAATATAAAAGTAAGTATGCAAGATTGTAAACAAAGTAAGTTTTTTCAAGAAAATATTGATAGGAATTAGTAAATGTTGGTTTTAATTCGCTTATATGTTTTTTTATTAAATAAAGTGTAGAATTGTTAGAACGAAGTTAGGTTTGGGTTAAATTGAGGTCTATTACGTAGCGATAGAAAGTTGTTGAAGTTAAAAACATCACATGTAAAATGTAATATCTTTTTTTATCACTTGTATTTTAGCATTTTTATAGGTAATGTTACTATATCACTATGTATCAGTATTGTCATGAATTGCAGTTTTATTGCATATAATGCTCTATCTTTTCATATCTATTGCTAATATTAATGTACAAATAATAAGCAATGAACTACTTGGAGTTAACCTAAATTTGTTAAAAATCGGCTTAATT